AGAAGGTAATTTGACTAAATGTTCTTCTAGAGTAGAACTAACGTTGGAAAGTCTTGTGCCAGTTTCTGGGGGGAAAAGATTGTTGAGTGAAAAAAGGCCCAGCAAGGTACAGTCAACTCTCCTAATGTGCAAAGTTAAAAGAGCAGAGGTTTCAAATGTGTTTGGTGAAAGAGACAGTGCTGGAGTCCTTCATGACAATGATGTTGCATGTGATCATCACAGGTCTTCCTCATTGAATTCTTTGTGCAGGGAAAATGCTACCATCGCCGACCCGGTTAATAATGAAAACAGATGTTTCAGTTCTTGTTCGTCGCCAGGGAAGAAGTTTCACCTCAACCGCCTCCGATTTATGGACAAAAATTCATCGAAGCACAGTAATGTTGTTTCCTTGCAGGAACTTCTTCATCCTGTTGAAAATATTTCGCGAATATTTATTGCAACATTCACAAGTGACATCTTATGGTAGAGTTATTAACTGCTCTACTTGGATATTGTATTATTATATCCTCTGTCATTGACCTACTCATTTCATCTGCTGCATGAAATGATTTATATGTGGCATTTAAATGCAATATTCTTGTGCATTTTCACAGTTAGGGATTAGCATGATGTCTACTTGGCAACTTTTCATTTTTTAGTTTCCTATTGTGAATATGTGGCTTTCTAAATTTGTAGAAATCATATTTTTTCCTTGATGTAATTTTGATGCATGCCACTCCTTTCTGTTAAAAAAAATTCTTATACGAGGTGTCTTGGTAGGTTTCTATCATCCTGTGAGATTCCTTGTCACCTTCCAGTAACAATTGCATGTCATAACACAGAGAGATGTTGGAGCACCCACCCTGATAGGAGAAGTTCCACGCCTTATGGAAGTTTTCCAAACTTAGTTGTTGTGTGAGTAAAACTTTAAAACTTTTTGGATATTTGGACCCTGCTCAAGTTGTAGTGTGAAATTTTTTTCATGTCATAGGTTTCCTCCATTTACTGAGGCTGTCGCTTTTGGAAAAGACTGCAAGAAACAAGGCATTGCTTGCCATCATCCAAAATTTCTTGTTTTGCAGAGGGAAGATAGCATTCGTGTAATTATTACTTCTGCAAATTTAGTTGCAAAACAGGTGATACTTAAAGATCTTTCTTTCACTTCATGTAGTGATCATGTCAAGTTAATTCTGAACTACCAACCAGAGAATATTACAGCCAAATGAACTAGAATGATTACCTAGGCAAGAATACAGATGCATATTGAATAAAGTAGTATTATTTAGGAATCCTCATGGTTTTTTAGTTGCATCTGTATCTGTCTAGGAGATACATAACATAATCCTCTTTCTGTCCCCTTACTCTCATTTACACACTCAAACACATACCCTGCAATACAACTTAAACTCAAAGAGAAGCACATGCACAAGGAGACGGAGACACACATATCTCCTGGCCTGTAAACTTGATATGACGCTTCTTGCCTGCTGAACTGGGATGTCTCATGGTTGAATTTTTGTATTTTACACAATTTTGGTTTTGTTGTTATCTTTAATGAGATTCTAACTCATTATATTACTTTGCAATGCCTTTGAAATTTCAATAGAATCTGCGGTGGTGTCTCCAATGCAAAGCCTTTGTGTTGTGGATATATTAGTCTGTTTGCCCCTATCTTTTATATATATATTTTTG